CCTCCCTCAGTGCCAATATTACCAGCCGGTGATTGGAGAGGCAGCAGTGCTGGAGACCTGGCCATTCCTGGAAGGAAGGAGGTAGCCATTGCCTGTGCTCACAGCTGGCCGACACTGGCTGTTTGAATAGGCACTTCCTCTCCGAGGGGAGTTGGTTCGTAATTTTCCTTTTGCTGCTACTGGAAGTCCTTGAATGGCAATATCACAGCTTGTACCCATTCAGGACAGGAAAATTTGACATCTGCAGATGATCTTAACATGAAGGAGGAAAAGCACAGTCCTGTGTGTCAGCTTCTATACAGGAACCAGGGAAATAATTCCTATGGCGTACCTCATGATGTAATCATTGTACCAGAGGCTGGCCATCAGCCAGGGAGCCTTTCCCTCGTCATTTCTGGGCCTCTCTGACATTTTCAAGGCAAGGGCCCTAAGGGAAAGCAAGAGACTTTAAGTCCCTGAAGAGACATGTTGTTGTAACTTCATTTAAACCCAAATAAATGGCTTTGTAGAAGGCGTAGCAGCCTCTTGTAATGAAGCGTGCTGGAGGGGTGTGCTCCTGACTCTTTGGAGAGCTGGGTCCCCTGAAAAGGACAGATAGATTTCACAATTTTACAGATGGCTCCCTAAGCAACCTAGAATAGACAGGGGCAAAATCTGATAGGGTTTTAGGTTATCAAAGTGAGTTCTTTCCAACTGATCTGAGACAAAGGACGGTCCTGTTGTTTAATTTCATTTGGTTTGGATGGTTCTTTCTGAATCTTTCATCAGCCAATAACTTTTTTTAACATTTATAAAAGATAATGAGTAAAAGGAGAAGAGGAAAGAGGGAGACAACAAAATATGAGCTACTGTTTTGTTTATAATGATTATGTCAAGTGCCCTCCAGTTTCGGAATTCTTTCCCTCAGTCTGGGTGCTGGCTAAACAGATAGAGTTTCTAAGAACGTGGTGCTGCACCGCAAGCAAGGTCCGCATGGCCTCCAGGTGATCCATGGCAGTCTGGAGAAGCAGTCACTGGCAACTGCCTCAGTCTTGTATAAACAAACATTTGGAGGAATAAAGAGAATGAACGCAATGGCCACAGCAGGGGCAAGGAGCAGAGGATGCAGTGTCATGATGCCGGAGAACAAGATGAAAGGGTAGAAGATGGGGGGAGAAATCAAGACGTCACTGATAACGCATGTGTGTATGTAACAGGATGTCATTTGGTAAGGATGGCTAATAAGGATACCCATTAAAAGATAAGTAATTAAACTGATTAATTTTTGCATAAAACGGGACACAGAAAGCTCCTAAGGGATTTATAAGCCTAAACTACACCAGATATAAAGGTGTAGTATATTTCGTTAAACCTGGAGACACTGTGCAGATAAATTATAATCTCTCCCACCCTAGTGCACACTCTTTAATACACGTGCACACAAACACATGCAAAAACACACACACACACACACACACACACACACACACACACACACACTTCCTTTCCCAAAACTACAAATTGGAAAATAGACTTGTATAAAGATGTATTTTTTCCACTAAATATTAAAGCTCATTTCCATAACACATTACAGTTAATGATTCTTGAAAGCAAATTTAGAATCAAATTTGACAATTACAAACTAAATTAGACAATTACACTAAAGCATTAGCTGAGTAAATTGTGAAACAGTTTCTTTAAAGCCATAAGATTCAATTCTCAGGCAAGGGAGCCAAGCATTCTTTTATTTCTCTAGTGTTTTGGAAAGGAGACAGATCGTTGGGTAGGTAAGACAAAAGACTGGAAATCCACAAGCATTTAAGTTTTCAGTCCAAGACAGCTGTTGGGTGACATCACCCGGTGTGCAAACAGCCCTGCTCGGAGGGAATTAGCAGACGAAAAGCTGGAGCACTTGAAATGGGCGTGTAAATGTGCTTTCTCTGTCTCCTTGCATTCTCTTTAGAGATAGGCACAACTGAAAAGTGACGCAGGGCAATATGTATACCGTGTAAAGACACAAGAGGAGGTTCAAGACAGAGAAACTGGCGGAGGAAGACAAGCATTTCAAGATTCAGATCATGTTGCTGCCCAAAGCCGGTCTCTAAGGAAACAGCTAGAAGGGCTATTCAGCTCTCAGCTTTCTTCCAAGGAATAAAGAGCTGGCTATAGGCAAAGGAAATGCCAAGAAAATGCCGATTTCTGTCATAATAACATCTCTCTCAAGGCTGAGCCTGGACTTACTTGGGGAGTACAAACCACCGGCTGTGGGGACCAGTCGGCCCTTGAAATTTGGTTCTTCAGAATGGCTGAGGGAACCCTGAGAGGACAGCACCACAGACACCCACTAATGAGAAAGCGTATTGACATCAGAGGCTCGGTTGCAGAGAGAAGCAAAGCCAACCTTTGCGTGGCCCCCAAGGAGAAATGAAACGCCTGGAACCTACCGTGTTTGGAAATGATTTTGCTAGAGCCAGACGGCAATTGCTAGGGGGGAAAGGAGGGAAATGAGGGAGGCGGTCCAAAGTGGGATCCTGTAAGTGAGAAGTCCCCGCAGGGGCAGATGGAAGGAGGGATGTTCGGTACCACAGCAACTGTCCTGTTTCAGACCAAACAACCTTCAAAGGCTACCTTCCTCCCAGGTGGCGGCTGGGCTAGCGTGGTTTAGGATAACCACTAATGTCTCCTGCAGCCTTAGTATGCTCCTTTCTGCATTGATAATTTTCATAGGGGCAGCTTCCTGCAAAGTAAGTAATGAATGTAAGATGACACTCTTTGGGGAGTTGTAAAGACAATCTAAGAACACGTCATTTCAGAGCTACAGACTTCACAGCCGGAGATCACTTCCATTGCATAATGTGCTTAGCCTGGAGCTGCTCTGTCTTTCTTTCTGTCTTTCTTTCTTTCTTTCTTTCTTTTTTCTTTCTTTCTTTCTTTCATTTTTTTCCACATCTACCCAATTGTGTCATTATTTTACTTACCTCATTGGGGAAATCATTGCTTTAAAACTGAATATGAATGATGAACTATTCTTCGATTTTATCTTTTGCAGGATAATATCTCTCTTCCCTCACTTCCCGTCATAGAAGAGTTTGGCCCAAGAGGGTGATGAATTGCTCCGAGTAGTTTGACCGTCCCAGAGGGAGGAACGAGAGTAAAAATAACTAGCTGATTACCAATAGGGAGCAAATTGGCCACTTGAAACCTCAGTGGTTAGAATGACAAATGAGGAAACGAAAATCCTCATCAGGGGACCAGGCTTTCTGATTAGTCCAAGGGCTGATGACTGCTGCCCAAGCGTCTCCCTCCCTGCTGCGGGATGATTTACATCTGATTGGACATCATTTTGTATTTGGGGCAGTCATTTCTAAAAGGGTGTTTGGAAGACTTTGAAGTTCTTAATTACAACCAGGAGGCATTTAGGGCCATGCAGTGAAATGGAAGCTACTCCATGTTAGACTCCTTTTGTACGAAGTTCGTTGACAGAAAGAGGCTGGTTGGTTTGGCCTGAGTGATATTCACCCTATTACTCCCAAAGGCAACCCGTAGTGTGGGTAATTGGTCTTAATAATAAAAAACGACAGTGAAAGAAAATAGAAGCCAGAGGAACATTCTCAGCTAAGGCTCCATATTCAAGGCAGACTCCTGTTTTCAGCCAGTATGGGGACAACCCTTAGTAGTCGATGACTAAAACGTCTGATAGTTTGGGCTCATTTGAGGAATGACCTTTTCTTTCTCTCTTCTTTTCTATTTTTTAAATCAGTCTTCATTTAAACTGACTCATCAAGAGGTGAGGTAGAGTCAATAGCGAGCCATAAACCTGCTTGGTGGCACTAAGTGGTGGGTGAAGGAAGAGACAAACAGGATCAACCACTACCCCCTCCCCACACACACATGGGCATGAGCTATAATAATTGGGAAGAAGAAAAGCGGCTGGGAATGTTAAGGTGGGCAATCAAAAGAGGATCCAGGGAGAAGTCATTGCTGCTTTGAAAAATAAATCAAAGTATATTTCTGAGGGGGAAACATTTGATTAAGCAGCAGTACTGATTTTTTTTTTTAGTTTTACATTGTGTGTGTTTGTATGGTGTGTGTGTGTGTGTGTGTGTGTGTGCGTGCATGTGCACACATGCACTGGTACACAGGACACTGTATATGTGTAGCGCACAGAGGCCTCCATGTGTCCATCAGTTTGAGACAGATTTCCTACTTTGAGACAGGGTCTCTCTGCAAACCTGGAGCAGGGATAGTGGCTAGCAAACCCCAGCAATCCTCCTGTCACTGGTCACCCCCAGGGCTGTGGTTATAGACATATGTAATCACACCCCACTTTCTATGTGAGCATCAGGGATTTGGACTCAGGTTCTCATGCTTGTAAAGAGAAGCCTTACTACTACCCACCTGTCAATCTTCCCTGCCCAGCTGCACTGACTTAGAAATAGCGTGGAGTAGAAATGTCTGTCGTGAGGAGAGTCACGTGAAGATGACAACTCTGTCGAGATGTAAGTGCACACACATGTAGTGTGTAAGCATGGACTTCCATTGCTGAGAAGGGAATCAGATCGGAAAAGTACCGGAAAAGTACTGCGTGTTCTGGGTAGAGCTAGGACCATTTGGAAGGCTTTCATCTCACAGAAAGCACCAGCAGAATAGTATTCTGCGGGACTTTGCCAGCAGTAAAACCCATTAGGTAGGATTTCTGATTTGATGCTTTGGTTTGAGGTCAGGGACAGAGAAGGGAAGAATGAGCTGGCATAGCACCTGATGTATAGATACATTTGACAAACATGGTTCTGGGGTGAAGAAAGCTGGACCACACGGAACCTGAATGTGATTTCCTCGGGTTGCTGTGTGGCCCCCGAGTGTAATCCAGCCCTTGTAAAAGGTAGCAATGAATCATTTGAAGAGGAGCAACTAACAGGAACATGGGTAGGCAACCTGGGGTTCTTGGGCCTGTTTCCCCTCCCCTGAGCTGGTTTTATGAATAGGTTTTAAGGAAGTCTTTATTTTTGTGTATTTTTCAGGGAGGAGAAGCTCCAGCAATCCTTCTGCAGATTCTCAAGGGAGTCCTTGTTCCAAGATGAGATGGGTACCAGTGACTTATGTTCATTCAGTTTAGAAGAGATAATTCTGAGATCCCGAGGAGGACCTCCAAACCTGGACTATCTGACACTACTGTATTATTTCCTGACGTTGCCTACTTGTAGAAAGCCTACAGCTATTCTGTTTGACAGAATGAGAAGACAAGGAACTCATTCCTGTCAATCCAGCTTGGGATTCCTGGACAGTTAAGAAGCATCATTGATTGGATCTTTGGTGCTAAGGAGGAAATGGCTATCCACAGAGACATTAGTGCTCATGCCAACCTGACTTGGGCAGTGATGATTCCTGACAGAGCCCTTTCTGGAAACTATCTCTTCACACACATAGCCCCTGCTTCCTTCTTTAAGTAGCCACATAGGGGTATATCTGTTAGAATATTGCAGGAGAGAATAACTAGATAGTGGCGGGGAAAGCATTTGGGAAGCTGATTTCTTCTGCTATTCTGGTTATCCCTCTAGACAGGCAATATTTTTGTTGAATGGGTACAATCAGTGCTTTCTTGGATTTGGCAGACTTAAAAATGATGTGGCACAGGCCCATTGGTACATTGATGTATGGCAAGAATAATAAAAATCCAGAGACATGTTGGGGTTCATCTGAAGATCAGAAAAGCAAAGCAGTCAAGCACTAGAGAGACCTTTTACCTCTACCAGATCTTCATACTGAATAGGCGAGATCCTGTCTCCACAAATCCTCAGACTCCACACCACAGTGAGTTCCTGTCTCTTCTCCTTTATCCTCCTCTTTCTGCCCAGTCATGTCGCTCCTCTTCCCATGTCTCTAGTGCTGGGATTAAAAGTGTGAACCACCACCACCTGGATCTGTTTCTTGACCCATCTTTGGTAACCCAGGGTGGCCTTAAACTCACAGAGATTCGTCTGCCTCTGTCTCCTGAGTCCTGGGATTAGAGGTGTTTGCCATGACTCCTTGGCCTATATGGCTGACTAGTGTGGCTGTTTTGCCCTTATTAAAACACAACTAATATATTGATGTGAGCAGCTTTAGATAATGCTGCTGTGGTTGAGAAGCACCACATATAAAGCGTCAGCGTGGAGTCCAGCAGAATGATACAGGATTCTTATTAATGACTCTTTGCTTACTGTATTGTGAATGAAGTTGCTAAGGAATAAAATCTTTACAATGAAATAAAATCTCAAGAAAAGGTTAGGACCTAGTAAAAACAAGTTGTGTTTTAAGAGTGTTTTCTATATTCAGCACTGTTGGCTTTCATTTGTATTTAGAGACATGTGTTACACTTACCTGGTTCATAGTCTTCAGAAATAAGAATGGACATTATACTTTAACATTAATAAGTTGCATACACAGAACTAAACACTTTTGTTGATAAAAGTTGACTATAAATGTCCACGAGTCTATTTCCTCTTTCTTAATAGGAGCATCCAAGTTTAATTAAGAAAACACTAAAGATTTTTTTAAACATTTAAAGATGTGATGAATTATAGCAATGAGAGTTATTAGGGTTTCCTTTTCCCTCCATGCTCCCTCCACGATACCATTGCTCCTAAGAAGTCATGATGCCCCTTACTTTCCACATCATGAACACCAAACTGAGAGAGGATTAAGGAGTCGGAAGGTGGTTCAGTTGGTAAAGTATTTGCAGAATAAGCATGAGGGCCTAAGTTCGATTCCCAGGACCCACATAAAAGAAGTCAGGAATGATGGCATGCATTTATAATTCTAGTGCTGAGTAGATAGAGACAGCTGGATCCTGGGGCTCGCTGATCACCTGGTCTAATTCAATAGGTGAACCACAGATTCAAGTGCGAGTTCTGTCTCAAAAACCAAGGTGGATGCCTTCTGAAGACTTATACCTGTGGTTGAAATTCTGGCTTCCACACACGAGCAGGCGCCTATACATATATACGCACTCAAATAAACATGCGAACCCATACCTCTCTCCGTGCACTTGAGTAGTCCAATTTGGTTCACTTATAATGTCCTACAGGGAGCATTGTCAATAGTGATTCTGTCTCTTTCATGAGCCCCGAGCTATCTGAGAGTTCTCTATAAGGCATCAGCAGAAAAGAGGAACTTATGCATCGATAATTTCTTTCTTCTATTGACCGTAATAAGGAAAGCTGCCAACACCCCTCAGGGTCACCTTCCACTGAGTATCAGAATTTTTACTGTGCCCAGATGCCTAGAATTGAAGAGGAAATGAGATGTGTGAAATGAAACTCGAGCCCAGAGCAATAGCTTAATATGCTGAAGTTTATAAATAACGAAATGTTTGGCTCAGCCTCCCATGCTCATATAACAGTGGGAAGGAACCAATAAATCGCCTTACACTGTCCCATGTCAAATTCATTCTTCATGAATGCAATTGCAAGTTGTCTGAGACCTTCAACTGTAACCCACGTCAGGGCTCTATGGTTTTCCAAACTGCGTAATCTTTGCCCTCATCACTGCTTATGTTCCAAGAGGAGATGGCTCCGTTTGTATTTATTGTGATAGTGACGTACTATTCTAAACAATTACTATTTACCATTACTAAATACGATTCTGTATACAACAGCCCTTTTATTCCTTCCTCCTCTTCCCCCTCCTCCTTAAGGAGAGGAATTTGATTCTACTGTGGTTGATTAGGACTCGCCCTGGGATCTGATTCTTATTGCAGATAATGCCAGTGAGGAAGCAGGGACACTACTATGAAGGACATAAACCATAAACTCGGCTTATCTCTACTGAATTCTCATGGACCTCTGAGAATGGGAGGATCTGCCTGTTGATGGTTTTCCCAAATAAAAGCCACCCAAGGGCATAGACATCATGCGTCAATGCCAACAAACAATTGAAACGTCCAGGCAATAAGGAATCATTGACATTTCCATGGTAAGAGTGGCCATGCATTTGCTTTCTTGTAGACCTAAGTGGGTTCAAACATCTGGAGTCATTGGGATATTTGCAATGGCATCAAAGCCACAACATGGTAGCATCTCTAGACTCTCCCTAATTGCCTCTTTCTACCTGTGGATGAAGTTCTTGCTGCAGGGGCATTACTTCTGATGGGTCCCTTCAGGTCTCCACGGGCCTTCAAGGTCTCTGATAGGATGACTGTGTTCTTCAAGCCAATGCATGGACTCACAGAAGTAGGGCGTGTTCCTCACGCATCAGTCACATCTTCTTAGGAGTGTGACTTTTCAAATCTAAACCCCAGGGAGCCAGCCAGTCATTCCCGAAGGAACAGATAGTTCAAGGACAGCTTGAATTCCTTCCATAAACTTGAAATCTTGATGGGATCCAAAAATCCCAGCAGGCTGCACATCTACAATCTTGAGGTTCCAAAAGTAGTTGTATAGACTGTGATGGCTGTTCTTGGTTGTCAACTTGACTTCATGTGGAATTAACTAAAGCCTCTACATGGGGAATATCTGTGAGGGATTTTTCCCCCTGAATTTAAAGTGGAATGATTCAATTCTAATCTGGATCTTTGAGGTGGGAAGAGACCCCTCCAATCTGGGCCAAGCCTTCTGCTGGAAGCCTATATAAGGACATGAAAGAAGGAAGGTGCTGCTCTTTGCCTGCTTGCTCTGTCTCTGTAGCAAGCCCATTCCTGCAGTGGCATTAGAGTCTACTTCTTTGGAATTCCAATGTCTGCTGAAGACCAGCTGAGACAGCCAGCCTGGACTGAACAGCCACTGGATTCTTAGACATTGCCTTCATAGGCAGCCATTGTTAACCCAGTGGGGCCACAGCCTGTAAGCTGTTCTAATAAAACCCCTTTCTCTATAAACAGAGATTCTTTCTGTAAGTTCTGTACCTCTAGGGAACCCTGACTAATTCAAACCCCAATGAGCATGAGAGAAGAAGGGGTCTGAGGAGGGGGTAGGGAATAAAGGGAGGGTAGAACAGAAAGACACAGAGAAAGAAAATAGAAGGTTTTAGGTTCAGCCCTTCTTTGTTACCCCTCTGCCTGGATAGTGACTATTCATGTCTATCGTTTCCTCATTTGTCAGACACGGGGTCAGTGCGCAAGCAGGGGCTGAAGGCTTCTAAGATGTGCACTTTAGACCATGGCCTAGAGAAAGGCCATAGTATGGGTTTTCTTTCACAAAAATCTTTCTTCTTTGTCCTACTTCTTAATTTGAGAATTCCCAGAGTCTCACCCCAAACTTTCTGTTCCTAGCTACCCCTGTCTTCTTCCTGGGTGGTCTTCCCTTTTCTAGCTCTTATTTCAAAGTCCCCTTTGTCTGATATTAATGCAGCTTGCTCAGAGCTGCTGTTTGCATGGTTTATCTTTCCCTTCCTATTGCTTTCAGCCTATTTGTATCTTTGGATCTAAAGTGTGTTTCCTTTATGCGGCGTATACTTGGGTCTTGTTTCATGTTTTAATACGGTCTGATAATCCCTGCCTTTTGACTGGATTGGGTAATTATTTGTAATTAAGGTTCAATTTACTTCTGCCACTTTGCTTTTGGCTTTCCATGCTTCAAATGTTGCTCATAGATTTTATCCCTCTTTTACTGTCTTCCATTACAAGGAATAGATATATAATAGTACAGCATTTTCTTGTCTTTGATTTTAAAAATTAAAATAAGTTTTCATTAATTTTTTGAGAATGTCATACATAAATACAATGTGTTTTAATTTATATTTACTGTCACTCCTACCTCCAGTTCTTGCTGGGTTTATTTCCACACTCCACTCTCCATTCCCTCTCAACTTTAAATCTTCTTCCTCTTTTTTTTTTTAAATAACAAATAGTAAGTCCATTTTATACTGCCTATAAAGCTTGGGTGGGGAACCATACCCTGCCTGTTTGTTTAACATACTAAGAGCCACACCCTTATTCAAAGTGGACTCCTCTCTTCCCAGAAGCCATCAACCATCAATAGTTCCTCATTGAGGGGTGGGGACTCAGGACAGCCTCCCTCTCTGTGCTGGAATACTGAGTGGCTTGCTCTTGCACAGGTCTTATGCAGACGAGCATTGGAGCTGTGGGTTTGTGAGTACACTTGTTTTGTCATATCCAGAAGACATTGTTTCCCTCCAGTCCTCCCCAACCTCTCACCCTCATAATTTTTCTGCTCCTTCTTCCAAAACAATCCTGAGCCTTGGAGGAGCGGGTGTGTGATACAAGTGTCCCACTTCTGACTGAGTGCTCCATAGATCCATGTTCTCTGCACTTTGTGAGTTTCTGCATCAGCTGCTGTTTACTGCACAAAGAAACTTCTCCTATGTGAGAACTATCCTAACCTAGCAGTATAGAAATATCAGATCACTACAAAGTCCATCTAAAAAGTAATAGTGTTATGTTCATACATGGAGTCTGTGAACTCCCCAACCATGGGTTCTTGGCCAGATGTGTAATATCAGGCAGGTATCTCCTCTCTAGAGCAAGCCTTAAATCCAATCCGAAGGTAGTTGGTTGATGCCATAATATTTGTGCCTCTTTTGCACCCATCAACACTTCTTATGGCACAGCTGTTGTCGTAACTCCAAGTGTTCACAACTGAGTAAAATTGTTGATGGCCTTTTCTTCTCCCAATAGATTGCACAGCACCCTTCCAGGACTGTGACCAAAGTTGTGGCGTCTTCAGCAATAAGGTCTTAATATCAAGTTCTGGGGGACAACTAAGAATGACAGCAGCAGCCTATCATGTTTCGACAACCCTGATCTCACCTGGTACTTGAGCTTTTTATTTTTCTTTTAAAATATTTTTATTAATATTTTTGTGAATTTTATACATTGTATTTTGGTCATATTTACTCTCCTTTCTTCCTAACTAACTCCTTCCAGATTTAGCCTCCTCCCTACACCTCCAATTTTGTCATCTTTAAATATATTCATACATGCATACATATGTACATACATACAAATGACTTTTTATTTGGTAACCCATAGGTTTTTAGAGAAGCATCTCCTCTGTAGGGTAGCTCAAATTAAACCCTTTCATATATATATATATATATATATATATATATATATATATATATATGTGTGTGTGTGTGTGTGTGTGTGTGTGTGTGTGTGTGTGTGTCTGTGTGTCTGTGTGTCTGTGTGTCTGTGTGTGTGTGTGTGTGTTACCCAGTCCAAACGCCTTCTAGCAGCTCTGTATGTATCATATAGGATCTATAATAAAGTGAGATTGTGTCTGCAGAAGGTAGACTGATCTTTCCTTCACTGTGGATGGTTTGCTCCAGTTCTTCCTGGAGATTTCTGTTGCTGCCTGCTCTCTTTACTTACAACCTAAGCTGTTTAATTGTTGTCCATGTCCTTTATGTTGCTGTTCTCAAACGTGACAGACATTTCATCATACTGTAAGCCTGAGTACTTGTACATATATATTGTTTTATTATGCATTTCTCACCAGGAATATATATCTGACAGTGTTGTTTTTATCCTGTTTTAGCAGAAGTGGAACTCATGTAATGCTAAACATATTAAAATGTAGAATCCAATGGCATTTGTCACAGTAATCATATTGTACAACCCTTGTGTGCTTTAGTGTGAATTCTTTATGGCCTCAGAGAAATTCCACATGCCTTCTTCCTCTTCCCTTTGCAAACATGATGTGTCTTTCTGCCTTGACAACATCTCTATTATAGATGTTTTATTGAAAAATTCATGCATTATGTGACTTATGTTTGTCTTCCACTTAGAATATTTCCAAGGCTTGCCCTTTTATGGTTGGATAATATTTCACTTTACGTATGTAACTAAATGTACGAATCTGCTCATCTGGTGATGGGCATAAGCATTTGATCTTCTTGCCTCTGGGCTGTGATGAATAACCATGGTTATAAACACCCATGTAGAAATTTCTGTGCAAACAAATGCCTTCATTTCTCTTAGATGTAGAA